AATAATAATAATAATAATAATAATAATAATAATAATAATAATAATAATATGCCCGCCTCATATGTAAGATGCCTGCGGTTTAAATCACAGCATAGCTACTAATACGAATTGCTCATGGACTCTAATAAGGGAGAAATTCGGGTACAATGCTTCTCATTTTTGTGAAGACGTACCAGAATTTTGCAAGGACACGAGGGTGATCGTTCAAACTAGTGAGATGCGAATAAAAACTCCACGAATCACGCAGCCAAATTATATTAAATACATATTACTGACAAACTGAAGTAATAAAACTGACCGTTGATCAAACGACAGCTGTTCTGTTTGTCAAGTTTGGTATTTGGCGTGAAAACATTCGGTCCCCATCTGATAAAACGTCGTGAGTGCGTAGTTGGGTGGTTATTTCCGAAGAACACTAAAGAAGAGTCAATATGCACATCTGAACCACACTTCTGTAAACATGCTGTCACCAGCATTTTTCAATAGCACAGCCAAACATGAATGCTGGATAACAATTGACTAGCCGTTTTGACGGAGTACAGTGAGGTTCTACAGTGACCGCGCAGGAAACCAATGGAAAACGATGTGAACGATGTTTTGGCCCCCAGTTTGACTGTAAAATCGAACATGCTAGGGTAGGGTCTACGTGGAAGGAACAGCGTAGTTGGCTTGCAGACGAAGTAGACCCATCCTCTGCTACCCGAATAGTAGCAACCCACTTTCTAAATATCGCATCAGATATATAGCTGATTTCGAACTTAAGTTTACTTGGTTCAATTGAAGAAGAGGTCACTCTGAAACACAGGGTGTTATGCCATCAATCAAGGCAGCTGTTCACTGAATTTAAGATAGGGTACTATTGTTGCGACAGAAGTTTCGTTTACTTCATATCCTCTCTTGAGTATCGGAGGGAAGTTTTCACTTATATACAGACCTTATAACCTGCGTGATAATGATCTGGTTCATGTCCATATCTATGTTCAGGATGGTGTGGCAATCAGCTGCCCAGAAAGGAAGCAATAACCTCATTGGTCAAAACATCCGTAGATGTTACCATGTTGAAATCTAACTTCATCCACTCAACGTTCACAGAACAACTGAAAGAGATGACCGGTAGCTGTTTTGATGTAGGACTCGACCGCACTGATTGTTACATACCACAGAAGTGGAACTGTAAACTACGAAGATGCTCTGCTTCACTTCGCCCGCTGCTCATTGACCCTTTTCTCTGTATCAGTCCAGTAGCGAACCCAGCCACATGGCTTTCAGGTACAAGCTTACGATAACTAGACTCTGTACCTCAAGTTTCAAACACACGATACCGCAGAGCGCTTGCTAAACTCACCTCACCCTCAAATCCAATGGGAGCAGAACATAGTTGTGATTACCAGTTATGATCACCAACACTGTTTTACTGGTTATATCCAAGAACAGCACCCTCGTCAAATGCGGTTCAGGGGCATTTGACGATGTGATCAATAAAGTGGCCATACCGGGGCTTGGGAATCACACAGGAGACGATATAATCTTTCAGTTCCGTACATTGAAAATAAAATGCATCCCAAACCAAATGAAAATTACCTTGAATGATCAGTTGTGAAGCCGAGTGCACGAACTTGGACGGTGCAGGGGAATATGAGGAGACTTGTGACATTGAGAGCGTTCATACGCTGGATCGTGTACACCCGCAAGGTTTCACACACAAACACACACACGTACTCCCCAATCCGAATGACGAACGCATAGGGAATTACCTCGATCGTGATGCGTGACGATGCCGTTGTAGCTGCTGATAGAGAAAAATTGTGATCCGGCTGTGCATGGTCAAGCTGGATGTTCATCAGCTTTGTCTGTATTTATTTACTAGATGGTAACATTTACCCGAGGAAAACCTAAAATTGCGTCTCTATGGTAATGCCACTAGCTTCTGTTGCAACCTGAGGTTTTCAGCTTCTCGTCTGATTGAGACAATCTTCTATCGTCAACTGATTTGACTGCACTCACCTGAAAAAAATAATCATTTATCAACAACACGAAAAGAACCATCTTCAGGAAAGGTGCGGTGTACAAAAATGTGATAATTCATGATCAATCTTTTTGTCAGTAGCCTTCACACACTTGCTTCCCAACTTTCAGTCACACTGCTCATAGACTTCGCGATTCATTAATCAGCACATTGGAAGGGAGCAATCCGGTTGTCTTTCGAAAAGTCAGGTAAAATGACAACCAAACCGCGGGCACGTTCGACTATTCAGGGGTGATAAGTCATGTGCATACAGCTTGCGCTGGTGAGGCACACTCGCTTCACACGTCAGACAACCGGAGTTTGAAACCTGTGAGACCCAAGACGCCCTGCTAGTGACTTTTAGTAAAAGCGAAACTTGAGTCCAGTGCTCCTCTCAGCCGTTGCAGACGAACCAGAATAATAGCAGCAGGACATGACGAGTGATATCACACTGCAGCCGGGAAACTGAATCTCAAGCCTCAACTCCGTAAGGCTTTCATTAGGCTTCTCGCCGAATTTCTTATATTTCCATAACTAGCTTGTATGTAAAAATTCGTCTTTTTGGTCTTCTCAGTAATCGTCACGACCACTAAATGACGGGTCTTGACACACCAGAATTAACAGCCGAGTGATCTCCTAGGCTGCTTTTTTTAATTAAAGGTGACCATCGTGCTTGCCTCAGCTTTTCTTATCCTTTTATTAATCTGCAACCACATCCCCCTCATTATGAGCCACCTGTCCTCCAAACTAGCTTTCTTCGGGCACATCAGTATGCTTTATTAGGGCAGTATTAACCGTGTGGTAAAAAAGGTAGCTTTATTCCTCTGTTCCCAGGCCTCACACCAACATGGACAACGGACAGACCTGTGTAAATGTAGTTAGGTGGATGCGAAGCTATGTACTTGCCGCGACCACCAACTCGCCTTACAGGATTTACAGTAGATGAAAAAATGATGCACGAATATCAGTAAGCTGAATGTCATTGGACTACCGTTTGATCTAATTATACCCGAATAAACAGACGAATGCAACGGTCACCCAGGAAGCTCGTCTCCAATTGAGAACTTTCAACTCCCATTCGTCGTACTGTCACACTAATCGGACGTGAATCTTTAGATAAAAGATGTTCTTATAGGAGTGAAGTTACGCGCAAAATCCATCGGTCCGTTTTTCCATTCTCCGAAGCGAAAATTTGCCTTGAATATGACTACCATTTTCGCTGCTTCAAGAATCCGTCTACAGCCACTGCATGGTTCCCGTTTTCTTCGCCGAAGCAGATTTGGTCTAACAAACTACTTGTTAGGCTATCGAAAACTCACCGACAGCCCACTACCGGCCTCACCTTTCTTGGAGCTCACCATAAACGAGTGATTCAGTAGAGTTCCACCTTAACGACAGCTGAGTTGGAGTGTGTATCGCCTAGTTTAGTCAGTTAATGTAGTAAGGATGCCGTGGTCGGATCTCGTAAATTTCAATCGCAAAAGTTTCGTAATCCTTATTAGGACTCATAAGATAGACAGTGAGAAATCGACCATGTGGCTCGACTGCTTTTTAACCTATATCTCAAGCACACCTGACTCAACAAAGTTACCCAAATGGAACATCTGAACGTTTTGTGCACGCAATGCTTATACCCAGTGTTTTGTAGGATACCTTTCCTGCACATCGTGAGCGCATCAGAATTTTTGTAGTCATTCGTCGGCACGTACTGCCCAGAAAAACGCCGTCATACCTTATATTTGGTGCGCTTGTGCCAAGCACAATTCGATTGTCATGTTAGACGTCTTCAGCGGTAGCGTAGTTGCGTTTTCATTACTGTGATACACCCACTGAATCAACAAGGCATAAGAAAGTTCGTGACCTAACTTGTTTCCAGTCAGTAGAATCCACCAAACATCTTGACGAATATGTTGAAGACTGGCACAACGACTTTGTGCAAATGTACCGGCAGACCAAATCCAGTCGCATGTTCACAAGGGTTTCGAAAACTGCGCACAGATAAAATCGATATCAATTGTTTAGTTTTGATTTACAGAACCACATAGTTGACTCAAACAGCTAGCGATAACCTACAGACAGAGGCGGACTAACTGGCTTGGAGAACTGCGTGAAAGTTTACGAAACAATTCACGACGACCGAGGTGAACACATCGGAAACATGCTGCAAGTGACCCGTAAAATAAACAGTAATATGTAGATAAGCAAGACCTTGCAGGCTAACTACGGATGAGAGGAGGCGTGGGACGAGAGTGGCACAGACCAAGAGAAACTGCACGCGGGCAACACAAAGACAAGGATTAAGCAATAGAAACTGATGACTGCAATTGTCATTGGACATAGTATTTAACTGAATAACCACCCAGACATGACAGTAAATGAAGAACAGTAAAATTCAACTTGAAATCACACACCTTTGACCGTTCTTTGTTAACCGACCATCGCACACCACTCCGTTTTTTTTAAATACAAGCCCGACAGGTCGTAAGGAATGATTTCGGTCGATTTCTCATCTGATTGCTAGAAAGTGGATGCGCAGATTCCCGCAGAGGTTGGTAACCACTGAAATCCAACCAGATAGGGGCATTTTCAATCGCCTGTAGAAACTGAAACTCACAAAAAACATTTCTCAGGGGCAACGTGTGTTTGGTGACCACCTAATCCCAAAGTGAACAGTGTCCACTGTTCACGGGCATGTGGTCTTCAGTTGATGAAATTCTTGCTCCTGAGACACGATGGAACATCTACAAGCCAAAAAACTTATTTGTGGAACTTTCTTTCGGAACGAGGGAGAGTCTGGACGATGGGAATAAGCAGCCCATATGAAGGTATGAACGACAAAACACAAGAGGATTTGGAGCATGGGAACCCGAGTAGAGGATGGGCATAAACACCTGCTCACACCAGGAATGCTTTAACTGCAGCAGCAGATGCTCGACTTTCAGCGTCTACTAGCTAGCTAAATTCGAATAAAGAACCCCAATCCGCACAAATAGGGGGCATGGATCAACTGATGACAAAAAGACTGTAATCTAGAAAACGTATTTCAACTTGTTCAGGCAGACAATATAAAATTAAAGTAATAGAGAACGCGAAAAAAACAGAATAGGACAAGCAACATGTGGACAAATCATGAAAACACGTCGCGGAAATACCGCCAAACACAAAATACGGAGCGATTGACTGAGTGGGTTCGTGGGAGAGAGTGAGTGAGCGGAGGGCAATCAAAAGTCGGCCTCGTCGTCGTAGAAATCTAGGAAATTGACGAACGACACTTTCGTGACAGATCCGTTTCGAGTGAAACTGTATTTGTAGTAGGATCCATCAGCGGCCAAAACTGCAGAATAGAGACAGAAGGGAGAAATTAACTAGAAATACGAAGGAATGAAGTAGAGGAATCCTAGTGACGATCGTTGAGTTGTGGTGTCCCAGAACAGTCAACGCCAGGTGCCGTTAGAGGGGAAGCAACACGAATGTTGAACATCGGTGCTGTACTGACGATGCTCAGTGACTGTAAAATTACGGAGTGTTTGTGCAAGTTTTAGAAGAAATGGCACAATGAAGCAACACATGCCCAAGGCGTGGTTCCCGAGAGTTTGAGATTGCTCAAGATTAAAAGCTAAAATCCGATGAACAGTGAGTTTGACTAGCCAAAATTGATCAGCAACAAAATCAAGGGTAGTCCTTCGTTGATCAGGAGGATTTACAAGCCTATTCATCTATCTGTCGATGGGCTGACATCCAGTGGAAAAGGGGTACATTTCAACGGAAATCAGACAAATAAAGTCGCATAATCAAAGAGAACAAAATGTTCAATTAAGTCATCCAAAGTAAGTGATGAGACCAGATAGCTTTGACCGCCTATTGTTTCCTTTGGCATGAAATTCCATTTCCTACCCTACAAACCTATTCATCACTGGGTGTAAAATCAGTGGCTTGTGAAGTTCATCCTATTGGTTTGATTGCTTCCAAATTGTGCGCTGTACTGCCGCCTAGGCGTCTATATTCTAATTTAACCAGTGGCCAGGTGTCACTCGATATGCATATGGCTCAGGTCGAACACACAAGAGTACCTCAATGTATTTGCCTTTTTAATGTGCATTCTACAGCACCCACAAGCACTGCTTTGTCAACCACAATACGGTTGTGACGAAGCATAAGTGAGGCCAACAGTCTCGTCACGACTGGGGTCAAGTTGATCCCCCTGTGATTACCTTACTCACCAAGGGCCCCTTTTTGAAAATGGACACTATCGCCCACGTTCTCCGAGACAATATCCATTTCCCAGGAGCAGGCAACCAAATCAGAAAAGCGCTGACTGAGGACTTCACCCCATCTTTGAACAAATCGGGTGCGAGATCATCCGGATCGGGTGCTTGGTGGCGCTTTGGGGAACATATGCGCTCGTAAGCCTTCGAGGCTGTAGGAGTTTCAGATTCAAACTGCAAGATTTTACTTCAGTTATAGGATCCAAAGAAGTGGCCACGAGTGGCCATGAGGATTGTGATTCAAAGTGCTCGGCCCAGCAGTCGAAACGTCCTTCTTTATTCAGAATGCTCGTGCCACTTCAATCTTTGATGGCTCACAGGCGGTCTCCGTGGACCGGTCGTGGGTATCAACAGGAGTGATCTTGGGCCATTCCCGGCTTTCTGGTTTTCTTCCATTTCCTTCCGTGTCCACCAGCCTTCACGGTCGACGCACACGTTCATTTTCACTCGATGTCCGTTAATTCGTCAGGACCAAATTATGTTAAGAACCGGCGGACAATGAGCTGAAAGTACGAAAACCACTGACCTAGGCAAAAATACATAAGTTATCCTACGAATGGTATGGATATGTTGCGTAGCTGATCTTCGAGCTTTACTATGTTTTTCAAGTTAAGTCCAACTTTTTGCTGGCAGGGGATCTATCAGGTTTCTACATCTAAGCAGCCGGCGAGATTTAAACAGTGCCACTTTTGTCTGATATAGTGCTTGGGTGGACCTAGTACGCCGTTCCAAGCGCGAAATCCCATGCACTGTGAAAAGATGTGGCGATCTTGTTCCGGCACACTTACGGAAAGTTACTACCGCCTGAGTTATCGAGGATGGCGCCCCATGTCACCAGTTTGCGATTCGTATGCATATGTGGTTCACCACCTGTCGGTCCGTTGGATTGAAAGGAGGCAGGAAGAAAACACCGACCGGCGTACACCCGTCACACTGTTTGTTGACATAGTCTTGCTCCGATTTAAGAAACATTTTAGACGAGCATTTCTATGGAACCAATTTTTGTGTAACCAATTTCGAAGGGTGGAAACCGAATCTTGACATTCCGCACCCGGACAAGGACTTGCGAATGCGACTGAGTGGGTTTGCGACCAAATATTCCACTTTTTAGGGTGAATACTCCAAATATTTAGTAATGAGACATTAATTCGGTACTGCACATCTGTGCGATCCAACGGGGGCCAGTATGTGTCACGTGGGAGCTTCATTCACTGATGTGACCGTCAATTCTGTAAAACCTCAGCGAGTTGGTGCTGACAAGTACGTAGTCACTCCAGCCAAGTCAGAAGTTCAAAGGGGTCTGTTCGTATATGTAAAACGTTTGTTGCTTAATCAATGCCATCGCCAAAAGTGCTGATTTTGCCTGCTGCAAAGACGATACCCACAAACGTTCTTATCGAACACAGGAAGAGATGAAGTGAAAAGACCTAGGTTGAATGAAGCTCCTGAGTTTCACGACGGCAACCAAATGTGCCCCATGTAAGTACTGTTAACGTTAACATCATCGTGGAAAAAAGCAAACACATTATTGCATCTATGCTTGTTTCCATTTTATTTCGAGTCCCATAGGAAAACATATTTTTCGGGCGCTAGAAGGGAAGCAAATAGCTGGGAAACTTCAAAACGGACACCCTTTGTGCTTGGCTGGAAATACCGCAAGAAATGCAGCTAATCGATGTCAGTGGCGTTGGTGCCGTCAGTTTCTTTCCATATTGTTTAATAGGAAGCTTGGAGGTGTAGGCATCCCAGAATGCTTGTTGGAGGCCAGCACTAGGTCGACCCCTCATCCACTCCTTCTTCTACTTTTCACTTTAATGCTTTGAATACAATTGAATAAATATTGTGGTTATACGGTAGTCAAGCAACCGTGTCAACACTGATGTTCCCTTCTTTGACGACTATCAACAGGGGTAGTTTGACCTCATGGGTACCTCTCAGTGAAGGATACACTTATCGTGCCTTATCACCGTCGAAACGCGGTGTGTCAGCCACAAAATAGCATTGCAACAAAACAGAAGGATTACGTGTGACGTTATCACGTTCCGTTATTCTGAAACTGTGGAATTTAGTGGGTAGTAATTGTTAACTAACCGATGAGTGTGTTGGGATTCATCATACTGAAAGCACAAATCGCCTTGAACTTGGTGTCCAGGACACAGCGGATTTGGCTGACATTTGCAAAGTAGTTTGTGAACACTTCTTGCCTATAAGATGAGGGCGGAAAACACAGAAGTGAACAGAAAAGAGGTATTTTTAGATCGCAGAATGAGAATCACTGATAATATACACATGTACATTCGGAAGAGACTCAGATTTACGAGTGTTCATATCCCACGCGGTATGTGCAGCATATCTTCGATATACCAATTTGCACACACACACGCACACACACACACATACATGTTTCGACCATTTTATCTAGTGCTTTCTAGGTTGATCGGCATTTCTTGCTTAACTGCTGCTGTTTTGACCATTTATGTGCACACGCGTTCATCTGGGTCCGTGTGTTCCGTGTTCTCAGCTCTATGTTGGATCTGGCACCTTTCGAAATTATTTACCTAGTTTCAGTCTCCACATTGCGACCACGACTATGTGGACTTCCTCATCGTGCACATAGCTTGGGAGGATTGGTTTTGTAGGTCAACCAACATCAGCCTACCCACTTAATATATACGACTGAACCGAGGTGAGTTTGCTTCGCTGTTCAACCAGGAGCTACTGACATGGTGCCATCCTACCGAAGACAATTTCACTAACACTATGGTTAATAGGATGCCAATCGTTAAAAGCGGTATTAATGACTGTCCCGGGGAAACATTCGTGCGGAATCTTAAAGGAAGAAGTGATAAGCCTTAAAATACCTGACAAACAATGTCGGTATCTATAGGATGGACAAGCAACTGGCCTCGGCGCTCATTTGTATGACATCACGTTTGGGCCAACTGATAGCTTGCAACAAGCCATTAAATGCTCGCTTGTAAATCTTATTCCCTGGGGTCCACAACGGCACCAAGTTCTTGGATGCAGCACAACTATCTGTTCAATGCGAATCGTGTGCCATTGTCCAGCTTTGCGCAGGCGACCGGAGATTCAACCATTGTTCACCAACAGGTTCAACAGGTTCAGGGATCCTGGTTGGCGACCGGGCAGTTAAGGCGGAGCTGCCAAGCTACCTGTTAGAAATATGTGGCTTGCTTCGAAGAAACAGAAGACGAGCAGGATTCGAAACTCAGGGCTTGTAAATCAGGAAATGTGCGTTTACATTATGCTTCAAGGTTAACGTTGGTGCGCCATTCAGAGACTTGAGGAAAACCGAGTATTATTAAAGTATGTCCACCCCAAGCTGTGTAAAGTTCACCGTTGACAGAATGGCATGACGGATTTTCAATATTGCACAATTGTCAGTTGCAACGACAAAAATATATGATTTACCCTCAACGACCAAAAGTCAATCCTGCTGAAAA